ACTCGCTGACGCAACAATATATATATATATAAATGATAAGAGACAACCGAATAAGACTTAAAATAGTTTTGCTTTCTACGTAAAACTGAGCTATTTAAGTGGAAGGAAGTTATGTAATTCATCATTAATGAAAAGTTGCTTCCCTTATATGTAATTGTAAAAAAGCCCATAAAAACCGCAAAACTGAAAGCTTGTATGTACCTCTCCCACGGACCCAATGATTCTCCATACCTAATTTGGTGAATATCCATCCCGAGGAGGTGAGGTAGTGGTAAAAAAAAATTCAAAAACGCCCAAAAAACCGCAAAACTGAACATTTATATGTATCTTCCCATGGACCCAATGAACCTCCATACGAAATTTGGTGAAGATCCATCTAGAGGGGGCGAAGTAGTGGTAAAAACGCCCATAAAAACCGCAAAACTGGAAATTTATGTATCTCCCCATGGACCCAATGAACTTCCATACCAAATTTAGTGAAGATCCATCTACAGGGGCGAAGTGCTGGTAAAAATGCATAAACGTGCATAAAACCGCAAAATGCAAAATTGAAAATTTGTATGTACTCTCGAATGGGCCTAATGAACCTCCATACCAATTTGGCGAATATCCATTTACACCCTGCAAAATAGTTACATGGACAGATAACAGACAGTACTTTTATATTTATATAGATAAGCTAAACCAAAAGTTTTTATTTGTGAGTATATCAGTAGGTCAGCGGTAAGTTTATCGACTTATATGTTAAAATCCTGGGTTCGATTTTCCACACTGGACAGATTGCAGATAACTTGTTGTATAGCTTTGCACACTATTTTATACACTGATCTTAAAAAGGCAAAGAAAATATCAAACACTCTTTTTATTACGTTTTGTCATTAGCCAATTAAGTTATTATTATATTTGTTTTATTTTGAAAACTACGTAAATACAAGTCAAAAGACGTAATTGTACTTTTTTATGTAAATCATCGTTTAGTTCTCACTTGGGATATTGCATTGTTACGTCTCCGTTTGTTAATTGATTTTCCGTAAATTCGTTCCGACGAAACTTTAGCGACACAAGTCCTTTCTTAAATAAAACTGGTTTATTCTTTCCAAATATAACTTTACCGATACTCTTATTTTCAACAGTCGCTCTATAACAAACGCTATAACGACGTTAACTTCAACAATACTTTCTCACTGCAGTTCAATTACTCACTACCTACACACATTGATCTCGTCACGTTGTGACCCTCTTATATATATACCAGACTACCCTATATCTAGTAATCTCCCGAAAATTCACGAAGGTTCGAGAGAAGGAGTGGCGTGATATAGTCACGTGACCTCGCTGACGAGAAGAGAGATTACAGCAGTTGTTGGAGGAGAAAGAAAATAAACAAGAGAACGAGAAAAGAAACAAGAAGAGAGACTACAGCAGTGGCAACTGGAGCAAGAAAGGAAAC